TACCAATTCTGAATCCATACAAATGCACATCCCTTTTCTTTCACTAAAAAAAGCTCAGGTATTTTACCATTTCTTTCTCTTTTTAAACCCTAGACAAAATTGTACTGACATAAACACTTTTGGAAAAACTACCTAATATTCAGAGAATGCAATAGACTCTTAACATTAATATTTATGTATGTTCAGTCTCAAAATGCTTGAATGTAAGTGCATGTGTTTGCAGGTGATTCCTTACCTTGACACAAGGTGGCATGGTTATGTTAAGGTTACACAATACATGCTGTGTGTCCTCATACTTTGTGCTTTTCCGCAGGAAAGACAAAAAACCAGTGGCTTCTTTGTTGCTATCTCTGACCTAGCATAGATAAGATGATCGAAAGAGAAGGACAAAGTATAGAATAGAAGTATAGAAAAGCAATATTAGAAAATACAAAAAAGGAGGAATGAGCAAAGAAGAAAATTGGAAGAAATGGAGTAGACCAAAAGGAAATGAATGAAGAGTGGGCAGAAAAAAAGGGAAAAGAAAACAGACCAAAACAGGTATTAGATTCCTTCATAATGTCTTGATTGTGTTGTGTAGTATCATTGGACCAGAAGCAAGGGGGGAACTGGGATAGAAGCAGTCCACAGGCAGGCAAGAGGGAGAGATTTACCTGCACATTTTACCTGGACGTCTGTCAGACCAGACAGTTACAGAGTGACCATGAGAGAAAGAAAGAAAGACAGTGAGACAGACATATACAGACAGGCAAGGCCGCAAGGTTGGAAGGCAGGCAAAGAAAGTGAGAAAGATACACGACGTGCAACAATTACCCAAGAGACATTGCAGCTAAACAGGTAAGCGGTTGGGCGCATGGCTAGAAGAACTAGGAGTAGTTGCTACTAAGCAGTACTATACGTTATAGTGAAAGACACACATGGACACACATTGTATGAGCTAAAAAAATACATTCAGCACATTAAAAATACACTGATACAGTCACAGGACAGAAGAAAAGACTTCTAAACATCCAGTTTCACAATTTTTTGTGACCGTTTTGGATTTGCAAGATGTGATGTAGAACATGTGGACACTGAGGCAATCTTTTTCTTTCATGTTATAACTCCAAATACTCTAAAACACTAATTAAATTGTCAATTTTTACTTTTCTATCATTCTTTATCTCATGCAGTTGCTTTGTTGTTGCAATTTAAGACTTGGATTCAGTGACGAAAAAGTCTCCTTTGACAATTTAGTGTTATTTTGCAGATAGTGCTTCCAAACACAAATGCTTTAGTTAGCATTGAGTACAGACCATTTAATTAGCCCAAATTATCTGTGTTTTAATGAAACATATTCTCTCCCAGTGCAGACTAAAAAAAGCAGATAAACTCTTGAATTTTGCAACTCAGAACCACTGTTAGCAACTAACCACCTCCATCAGACATAAACTTTTACAACAAGGGGAAATTTTGGACCACTTGGTTTTTCAAATCTGCTTAGATAGATTAGCTTTCCTTGACTGTAACTTGATGGATTCAAAACTTAAAAATTAGATGTAGCCAATGAGACAGAATTCATTCTTATATTACAGATCATATTGTTCCATATTTTCCTAACAGAGCACTTCGCTCTCATACTGCAGGTTTACTTGCGGTTCCTAGAGTTTCCAAAAACAAAATGGGAGGCAGAGCTGTCAGTTCTGGCTCCTCTCTTGTGGAACCAACTTCCAGTTTCTGTCTGTAAGGCTGACACATTGTCCACTAGGCTTAAGACTTTCCTTTTTGACAAATCCTATAGCTAGGGTTGGCTTGGGATTCCTGAGCTATCCCTTAGTTATGCTGCTATAGGCTTAGACTGCTGGAGGACAAGCTGGCCACCTTTATTCACATTCACAATTCTACTGCCTTTACTTACTCTGCTCAACCTGTTTTGTAATTATTTTTTCTATTTTAACATGTGTTTTTGTCCTTCAGGTACACCTGCACCTACATCTGGACCCGTAGTTCTTTGTTCGTTTGTCTCTCCTTCCTGTCCTCTCAAACCCAACTGGTCAAAGCAGATGATCACTTGTCCTGAGCCTGGTTCTGAAGGAGGTTTCTTCCTGTCAAAAAGGAGTTTTTCCTTTCCACTGTTGCCATTGTGCTTGCTCAGGATGGGAGACTGAAACGAAGTGAAGATTCAATGCGTCTGCTGCTTCCTTAGATAGAGAACTTTACTAATCGGTTTTTCTATGTATGTGAATGTTCCTGTAAAGTTCCCTGAGACAACTTTCTTGTGATTTGGCGCTATATAAATAAACTGAATTGAACTGAATTCTTTGGTGGGAAACCATTATCAAATCTCATGACTGTTATTTGGCTTTGCTGTTTTAAGATTTTTCTCTACAAGCATTGATTTTAGAGACGAGCAAAACCAAGAATCCATGAACTTCTCTTCAATTTGCAGACATATTTTGACAAAACATTTGATTATTTCAAGTGTTACCTGTCTATACGGGGTACAAGATAAAAATGTCATCAGTTCATGATAGAACATTCAACATCACATGTTCACTAAATATAGTTGAAGCATGATTCATCTGAGATGAGCTCTTGCCCATTTGTATGCTAACTTCTTGTCTAATACAGTTAGGGGTTAGAATTTTGGTTGAAGGAGTGGAAAAGGTTAAGATAAACTGAATATTCTCCTGAACAAATGCAGCAACATGTTTAATAATGGTTCCTGATGAAGAATAACCCTGACTGTGTACAGCAGTACTTTCTGCTCAAAACCTGTTCACATCCATGAACTATAGATGTTGAATACCTTGATCATTTTGAAATGGTTAACTGAGAGTATGTTATTTGACCTGGTCAATGATTCTCTAAATTTCTCACAAAATAGTGTGGCACAATTAATCTTTGCTTGTAATTACAAATTCTTTGGTAGAACCTTCTTTAACACACCATAATGACATCCTCATTTTAAGCCAATTAAGCGGCAAATAGTACCATGTTTCACAACAGTATTCTTTGCATATTTTATTAACTTTTCTAAAATATTTAGACAGTTTACTGACATCAAATACTAGATCTGTTGATCTTTTAAAGTATTAAGGAATCTGGCAATCGAAAACAGTAAAATATTTATCCTTTGTAAAAACGAAAATATGGAAATAAAGCAAATAAATTGTAAATTAAAGGGTTAATGGTATAAAGTAATCCAAATCATATCTAACATATTTCCCATTAAAATATTAATAATAGTTACAAGACTGTATTTTTGTAAAGGAGGATTATTGCATGAAAAAAAATACTGATTTCATTTAAACTGAAGATAGTTTTACAGCCACAATGAAAAATAACCTTTATACACTTCAGATTGTGTTGAAATTTTATAACTCTGAAAATATTTTTATTGATAAGGTAAATTATATGTTTTTCAGGGTTTTCAGACAAATAAAATAGTGTTTTGTCTGTTGCGATGGTGTCAAGTTTGAGTACTTATCTGAATGTTTTTGATTGGTAATTGCGAGAACAACAGTCAGCTTGACGTGACAATAAAGGTCTAAACATACACAACAATCACAATATGAACAAGATGTTCAGGTGATCAGAAGGTGTTCTGGAGGGACAGACTCTCTGGAAAGAAGATCTTTGACTCACTAAACCCAAAACCCGAACAAGGAACAAAAAGCTTGAAGCTCCGTGAAGGTATCCGAGCAGTGAGGTGCAGACAGACCTTAACTGAAACAGGCAGTCTGTTGTCTCTGAAGGCCTGGAAGCTGAAGCTACGAGGCTGCTGGGTGGCCTTTCTCATAGGCACCAGGTTCCCAGAACACTCCAAGTGCAGCGGCATGCCCTCCATAAGCTGTGAAAAATATGAAAATGTTTACATAATTTATCTAATACTCTTCAAGTAACACTGATATTCATGAAATCTTTGCTTTTTATGACTGTGATATTTTCCCTTTGTGCTGACCTCAATGTCTCGACTACGTGCCACTTCGGTGAAGTTTTCATGCAACTCCAGGGTTTTGTCCATCTTGTCGTCCGTCATGCAGTAGCAACGCAACCGCCCTTCACGTGCTTCATTCATTTTTGCAAAAATGACAAATTTGGCCATATATGGAACTGACATCAGCTCCTTGTGCAACAAGTTGGCAAAGGTCACTGCCTCTGCTGTACGCGGACAGTCTGCCAGCCAGAATCTGGAGCAGAAAGGAAAGAAATTAAGGAAGTTAATACTGGTAGAAATGTAAAACAAATCAGACAAAAAATAAATACTGGTGATAGATTTGTCTCGATTACCTTGCAGACACGTTAGTGGTGAAATTAGCACAGGTATTGGCATACATCAGCTTGGTGGTTCCAGTGATGTCCTCCCACTGAGCTGGTGCTGTTCCACCTGAGTCACCATAAGGGTATTGTGTCATTGGTACACACATCACTACGCACACTTAAAAACTGCAAAATGAGAACGTCTGAAAATATGACAATGAAAACAGCAATAATTTCAATCTAAAAATGGTTTCTAGTACCTATGACGCTGCAGAGGAGGCGCAAGCTGGTGGTATCCCCCTCGCCTGCATCACGTCGATTCTCCCTCCAGGATGGGGGTAAAGGGATGCGCAGTCCGATTGGCCGGTGAAATTTGCGTCGCCGTGGTTCAATGGTAACCACCGGACTGAAGGTCGCCTGGTTACCAAGCTGCTTGGTCAGCAGTTCATCTGGGATTGGTTGTGCCTGAAGGTATAAAGCAGTGGGGTAAGACCTTATATTTATGTATTTGCAACTTAAATCAGGAAAGTGAGGAGTGATAGATGGCTGAAGGGAAACAAACCAGCCAAAGAAAAACTCAGACAAATGAATGTTTCTTTACACAAATGAACACAAATTAAAGTTTAGTCATAAGATAGACAATAAAACATTTTTTTTCAAGTTTAAAAAACTTAGCAGGTCTTAATGTTTTATGTGTCCTGATGGTTTTATATGTGAAGTCATGTTACTTTATTCTTCTAAAGGGTTAAGAGTACAAACTTATCCTCATTTTATTTTTTAGTGACAATAATAACTATGTTTGGTAACAAGCATAGTATCAATTATGTGCTTCCAAAAATAATAAACAGAACCCAGAAAAAAGAGATGAACTAATTGTTTAATGACTTGTTCAACAACCAAGTTTTTTTTATTTATGTAAAGTACAGAGCTTCTAATATTTGCATAAATACAAATGTAAAATAAACATCTAAGAATCTATATTAACAGTTCATCTTCCTCTTCCACCATGTCACGATTCTACTGTAATGTTTACTTGTCCTTGTACCTGTAGCCCCAGCCGCACTCTCTTGGTGACAGCCGTCTCGGGGAAGATGGCCTCCACACGGGGCACCAATTTACTGCTCAACCTGCCACCTTCTGGACCAATCAGATCACTTTCCTGTTGAATGCGGGAGACTACAGCAAAGTAAAGGGGGAAGTCAGTGGATATGATTCGACGGATTCTCTTCTTCTCCAGCTCCTCGTAACTCTCCAGCTCTAAGAGGATGTCAAATAAAGGACACACAGAAACACAAGCAGATGGATGGGTTTGCTGCAGCCCAAAGTTTTTCTTGTCTCATTTGCAACCTGTGAAGTCTTTTGAGAACTGACCTTCGTCCATGCCATTTAAAATAGTTTCCAGCACTTCGTCGCCATAGCGATTGCGATGCTCCTTCCAGACTGAGCCGTTTTCACTGCGGAGGACCACAAGCTCTCGATCTCCACGGGCCAGTGAGGCAAAGTGAGGGATTTCTACTATAACAGGTCTTTAGAGGTGGAAAAAAACTGCTTGTGTAAAAATTTTGCATGTTTTCTAGAACACAGATAAAAACAAGTTCAAGAAATCCAAGCCTAACTCACCCAAGAAACTGCATACTGGAGGGGCCCAGGGAGATGATACGGCTAGCCAGACCTTCGCCCTCCACTAACGGAGGAGGGGTGGTCAGTTTCTGGGGTTTTACAAGGCGACAGGTGATTCGTGTCGGTGCAGCGCAGGTCCGAGGAGGAATGATCACCCGCAGGCCATGGTGTCTGCTTCCTCGCATGGAGCCTCCTCTTGCATCCACCATGAAACTCACCAGGAACCTAAGTTTTATGGTGGTTTAACTCAGAATTACAAGTGGTAACTTAAATCAAAATGCTACATATGTTGTTGTAGCTTTGCCAGAGAAAAATAAATAATAATACAATACAATATGAAATGATCTCACCCTGTGTGTATGGGGCTAGCCACGGGGCTGACATTGTCTGAGGTCTCTGTAGCAGGACTGCTTGGGATTAGTGAGTCCTCATCATACTCTTTTGGTAAAGGGATAGGGGTGTGCTAGAGTAAGAAGGGAAGGAAAAAGAAAGGCTATGAAATATCAAGAGGTCGTAAAACAACCTAGATTGAACATATTAGGACAGAGATGCAAAGGAAACAAATGTAGTGGTACAAACTGCTGCATGATGCAAGGAATGAGGGCAAGTGACAGAAGCAGCTGTGTGAAAGAAAAGATCAGTGAAAAAGAAGAAATGGAGAATACCTGATCCAGCTGAACCGTCTCCGGTGACACACAGGGGATTCTTGGAATAGCAGGAGAATATGGCCTGTGACAGAAAAACAAGATTAACAGGAAAAGGTGCCTAAAAAATTATATTCAATAGATAAATGCATATTAGTCTTAAGCTAAGCTAATGCATCTCATTAATTAGAGCAAGAACAAAAGTTGTGTCAATACTTCAATCAGCAGCACCTTTGCTAATTCATTAAATGATGCTAACTAATGATATGTCGATGTCCCCTGTCACTCAAGGATTTTAACAGTGAATGTCTGTAGTTTTTGAGATGAGAGTTTTTTTTTTCTGGACTGGAATTGAACAGGGAATGCAAGTAAACCTTAATGTTTTTAAGTGCAAGATATCCAAGTGGGTAGAAGTTAAATTTTTTGCACCCTATGCGCTGCACCGTGGCTGATACTGGCAAGCAGTGGCAGCAATTTTATCAACTAGCAGGTGCAAAGGCAGAGCCAGAGGGTGGCCAGTGGTGGCCATTGCCACCATTGAAAAAATATTTGACCACCCTACCAGTCACCCAAGTCCTTTTTGGAATATAAAAGCTGGAAAGCCCAATTTTCTCAAATGATAGGGGTGGCCAGTTTACATATATATACAGTAGTCCCTCGCTATTTCGTGGTTTAACTTTTGCAAACTCGCTCTTTCGCAGTTTTTCAAAGTAAGATTGGACACGACACACAATTGGCTGATTGATGGACGAGCCGCAAGATCGACATGGATTTTTTAATTTAAAATATATTATTTTAAATTATTTAGTACCTGCTGCACCTGTGTGCAGCCAACATGTGCAGGGAGAAGCTCCTTCCTGCAGCGAGTCCTGATCTCTGCTCTGCAGCGGAGAAGTGGGTTTGGCCGAGAGCGCTGGCAGGTGGCAGAGAGAGCAGAGATCATGACATGCTGTGCTCTTTTAGAGTGTTTAGAATTTAGAAACATTGTTTAGAATATTGCAAGAGTGTGGGCTAAAATAAAATACTATTTACTAATTGCACTACTATTCCTACTTTGCGGTTTTTCACTGATCGCGGGGAGACTGAGAACGGAAACTCCCACGATAAACGAGGAACTACTGTATTCCATTTTGGTGTATGGCTGCAGCTAGACCTAAGAAAGGGTCCTATTGAAAACCACAATGGCTGTTTTAAAAGTTTTATTTTATTTTATTTATGTCGATACAGTTTAACTAAACCTGAGTCATCCTTCTGAACAAATGTTTCATTGGTCTTATGCCAGTCATACCTTTGTTAACTTTAACATGAAAAATAAAAATAATTATAAAGTTTGAAGTACACAGCAGCTCTTAATCTACTGTACTCCAACTTCCCTAGTATATTGCAAATGACTTACGTGGTACCCGTGCCACCATCAAAGTCTCTCAGGGTTTTCTTCGGGGATAGAAAGTCATCGTCCTGGTCCTTGAAGTCGTCAAGTTTTAGATAGCGTGCTCCATCCAACCCAAGCAGCTCATCTCCTGTGGGGAAATTAGAAAGGTAAGAAACAGGGAAAGCAAGAAGGCAAGTATATTGCAGAACACAAAGAATTAGGAAATAAAAGGATGGAACCATGGGAGTAAACAAAATAATACAATTTTCCAGATCAGTAAAGACAATATACCAAAGAATTTATTTTGTGCTGGACATTTCCAATTATTGCAATACTTATTTTTTTAAGTTTAAGTTTTTTTTCTCCTAAACTTGGACTTATAAAATAATTTTGATTTAATTTAAATCCTGATGAACATGTGAATGTTAATTCAACATTATTTTCATGTTTTACCTTTCCGTTTGTTTTTGCAATCTTTTTTTCTTCTTCTTCTTCTTCTTCTTTTGGCTGCTCCCTGCATTAGGGGTCGCCACAGCGAACTAAGTTGCACGAAGACTTGGCAGTTTTTTTGTTCTTTTTTTACGCCGGATGCCCTTCCTGATGCAACCACAGACCACCGAGCTACTACAACTACATAACTACAAGTAATTATGCCTCGATTGTGCTTTTTTAATCTTTCACATATCAAGTTGATCAGAAGATGGTTATTTAAGACTTTGGCTTTTTATAATATTAAAAATATTATGGCTTCCTTAAATAGAGAACTTTACTAATTTACTTTTATGTATGTGAATGTTCCTGTAAAGTGCCCTGAGACTACTTTGTTGTGATTTGGCTATATACATAAACTGAATTGAATTATAACAGATATACTATTCAAATTATTGACTTCATTTAAGGAAAGTAAATCCTTTAAATTCATTTAAAAACATTGTTCTGATTGAAATCTGCTTAGGTAATCCATTTTTGTGTTCTTCTGCTACTTTTAGCCTCTTCATATTCATATATTTTAGCCATTGCTCACTTTTTAGCAAGCCTATTGTTACTTTTATATTTAGTTACCATTCTGCTACTTTTAGCTTTTAGCTAGTGTTTAGCTTTATTTAGCTTTTAGGTAGTGTTTGGCTACCATAGGATATTAGCCAATCTTTGCTCAGTTTAGCATTTAGTTAGCGTTCTGCTTCTTTAAGCCTTTAGTCAGTGTTTAGTTTCTTTTAGACTCAAGCGTTTGTTTAGTTACATTTAGCTTTCAGCTAGTGTATCATTATGTTTAGCTTCAGCAGTGTTGTTCATCACACAACATTCACACTGCTTTCTTCTACTTTGGCTTGGTTTGTTCTAAAGCGATAATCAATTCTCATCCTTTTCATTCCTTCATCTTCATGAAATTACAAACTGACACAAAGTCACTGCAAACATTTTCATTCAACATCCAGAGCCAATGGGAACTAAAAGAGTGGAAGAAAATCAAGACTGGTCAAACAGTGAGTTTTAACACAGCTCAGGACTGCATGGACAGCAAACTACAAGGCACTTGGTGACTGCTTTTGTTTTTATATATATATATATTGTTTTTTAAGTGAGCATGCTCATTAAAGATGAAATATGAGTTGATGGTAGTTTCTGTGTAAAAGGAAAACATCTCAATTATTGAACAGGAATGATGTCAAAACAACTATAACAAACACAGAAACATTAAAAACACTTAGAGTTGTGGCCAAAAGTTTTGAGAATGGCACACATTTTGGTTTTCACAAAGTTTGCTGCCTCAGTTTCTATGGTAATAAAGTGTATTAACTCCAGACTGTGAAGAGTGATCAGATGAACTGCAAGGACATTGCTGCTTGTGAGATAGCACCCCAATCAACTACTTATTGAATCATCAATAACTTCCAGGAGAATGGTTCAATTCCAGCAAAAAAGGCTTCAGGGTGTCTAAGAAAGTAAATCAAGCATCAGGACCATCTCCTAAAGAGGATACATCTACAAGATCGGGTCACCACCAGCAGAGCGGGTTCAGGAATGACAGACGGCAGGTGTGAGAGCATCTGAACACACAGTGTTACCAGGAGGATGGCTCAAGAAGGGCAGCAAAGAAGCCACTTCTCTCCAAGAAGAACATGAAGGAGAGACTGATGTTTTGTAGTAAGTGCAGGGATTGGATTGCAGAGGACTGAGGTGAAGTTATTTTCTCTGATGAAGTCTCCTTCTGAATGCTTGGGACATCTGGAAATTGTCTGGAGAAGAAAAGGTACCATGTTTCCTGTGTTCCAACAGTGAAGCATCCTGAGATCATTCATGTGTGGGGTTGCTATTCATCCAGGGGAGTGGGTTCGCTCAAACTTTTGCTTAAGAGCACTGCCATGAATAAGGAATGGCATCAAAACATCCTCCAACAGCAACTTCTCACAACAATACAGGAGCAATTTGGTGATGAATAATGTTTATTCCAGCGTGATGGTGCATCTTGCCACAAGGTTAAAGTGATACCCAAGTGTCTCAGTGAACCAAACATTGTTATTTTTGGTAAAATTTCCTATGGCCAGGAAACTCCCCAAATCTCAATCCCATTGAGAACCTGTTGTCAATCCTCAAAAATAGGATGGACAAACAAAAACCTAGAACCTCTGATCAACTCCAAGCATTGATTAGGTAATAATGGGTTGTCATCATTCAAGATTTTGCTCAGAAGCAGAAAACCAGCATGCTGAGGTGAACTGCAGAAGTCTTAATGAAGAACGGTCAACACTGTAAGTATTTAGTCATTGTTTACACTGGATGTATTTGACAAAAAAATTTAATCAAATGTATGGAATGCTTATATTTATGGTACTTCATTATACCATAATGCCATTATACCATTAATGGGGCGGCTGTGGCTGAGTGGTTAGAGCAGTCGTCCTCCAATGCAAGAGTTGGGGGTTCGATTCCATCAGCAGTCAAATGCTGAAGTGTCCCTGGGCAAGACACTGGACCCCCCCATTGCCTCGGATGTGTGTCCCAATGTGATGTAAAGCACTGATTATTATTGTATAGATATAGTAGAGTGCTGTATGAATAGATAAATGAGGGCACAGATTGTAGTGAAAAGCGCTTTGAGTATTTCAATAAGATAGAAAGGTGCTATATAAGTACAGTCCATTTACAGTCCATATTATTACAAAAGGTTCTAAAAAAAACAGGCAAAATAACTTTGTGAAAACCAAAATTTGTGCCATTCTCAAAATCTTTGGGTACGACTTCAGACAGAACCGTTTATGATTTAACATCCACCAGTACAAGCTTTTCAGGAACCTCCCCAGAAAGGTTAAACAAGTAATAAGAGATGAAATAAAACAAGTAGAAGGACCAAAACAGATTACAAAACGAGGTTTGCTTAAAGCCAAAGGACGGCTGCGTGAACAGCGAGCCTCGTTTTCAGAAGACTGTCACAGCTGCCACCCAGCATGTGTTTAATCAGCTAATGACTCAGTCAGGTTGTGGAAAGCAAGGCTAATTCACAAGGCAAACATTTTCATCTTCTATGCTGAAAATTTGGAATTTGGCCCAGAATAAATCCTCGAACAAATTTGCATTTAATGCTATAGCAAAAGGAAATTGTGGGTTTGAGCTGGTGACAGGTTAAAATAAAATCTGAACAAGTTGGAACAATAGAGAAGATGAAGACAAAGGACAGAAAACATAGCTGGAGTTGAAAAGGAACATCATTAGAAACACAATTAGTGAGACAGAGATAATGAGAGAGTGTAGTTGTAATGAAGGCACGGGTTCACCAGCCACTGGATTGGGCAAGGCAGGGATACAAACTCTGTCGTACCTAATGTTAGCTGGGCAACCCCTATGAAATAAATAAAAAAAAAATAGTTGCATGTCATCAGACATAAAATAACATTACACTTTTGATTAGTCAGTATATTCCAAGCATTTTTCTTTAATTAAAATTGGGATTCAGAGCTGAAAATGAATTGAATCAAAGTTTTGCATATGACGTGTTTTGCCAGAACCGTAACAGACGAGCTTACCTTCGTCTTCGGAAACATCCAAAATCTCATCAACCGTCTCAGGGAAGCTCATACGATGTTTCTCTGTGGTCATCTGAAGGAGCAAAGGAATGTTAGAGGGAAGAGGAACTATAGAAGCAAAATAAGAACATACTGGATTATTATGGAATAATCTATGCCACTAAATGTTAAATATGCTGCTTTGCAAACTATATATGATGAGTTACTCACGGTGGAAACAGACTCCTCAGTAACCAGCTTTAACACATCAATAACAGAAATATAACCGAGCCGCTTAGCAATGCCCAGAGGAGATGTTCCGTTCTGCACAAAGATATAAGATAAACACTACTAAAAATTATGCATATTTTACATTCAAATGACATAACTTTGCATTCTGCCTGCAGAGTTGTAGACTTGCATTTTTATAACCAACATTTACACACAATGTAACAAAAAAAAAAAACCTAAAAATTAAAACAAGCTTGTTGATATAATCTTAGCAAACACAAAAAATTACTAAAACTCATTGAGCTTAAATTTGGTGCAATAGTAGCTGAGCCTCACTTCTTCCAAGCATAATATAAAGTGTGATAATTTTGCTAAAGCGTTGGCAGTACCGTACTTTTTTACTATATAAGTTGCACATTTTTGCATAAATTTGCATGCCCTGTGACCTATACGGCAAAGTAACACATTTATGTTTTATCTTCATATTTATAAACCAATTTTTGGTCGAGATCTGACAATTTAATTCATTCTGACATGGAAAATATTGAACACTACCATTTTCAGCCACAAGAGGACCCTCGAGTAATATGGAAAGCCAAGTGTCTCATTATTAGGTAAAAGTGGCTATTAATGAGACACTTGGCTTGCCATACAGGGCCACCTTCATCTCGCTCCGGGACTCCTGGAGCAAACGTCAAATCAGCTGCATTTCACCGTGCCACCCAGGCAAAATTCAGATGATTTGACTATTAAAGTTCATTTATTAAGGAAACGTTCAACTGAGACACACCTTTGCTATAATGTCGAGCAAACAAGTAATTGTTTTTAGGTGGTTATCTTGTTAAATTTTGAAGAAATGCACAGCGAGTCCTCCCCCCTGCACGCTCCCACAGTCACAAATGGGTTTTTGAAATGTAGCTGATTTGACTGTTAAATTGCATTTAAGGAAAATTTAATCTGAGACACACCTTTGCTATAATTTTGAGCTAACAAATACAGTTTTTTCTGGTGTATAAGTCACAGTTTTTTTGCATAGATTTGTCAGTCCTGCAACTTACAGTTGCTGAAGTGACTTATATGTTTTTTTCGTAACGCAAATTTTGACTGACGCTTTGAAGTTCTAAGAACTGCAACGGCGAGTCCTCCCGTGCGCGCCCGCTTCACTCAGCTGGTGCAAGCGGAAGAACGCTGGAGAGCTAGCAGTTCGGGCTGTGATGAATGGATGGATGGCGGCGCGCAGCCCAGGCGAAATGAAGCCGTTTTGACCATTAAATAAATGCATATTAAACGTGACGGGTCAGCAGTGATGCATAATAAATGTGACTTATACGTTGAAGAGACTTTTATAAGTTTTTTCCTCTTCATGATGCTTTTTTGACTGATGCGACTTATAAAATACGGTAATTGTTTTTAAGTGCTAATCTTGTTAAATTCTTGTTAAAGTCCTCCCGTGCATGCTCCAGCAGCTGACATTTGGCAGCCAATGGATTTTTGCTACAGTACCAGCCATGTTTCTG